ACTTTTTTTTTCATCAATTTTTAGGGAACGCGATTTGTAAAGAGTGAATGTGGTCTATCATTTGCAATTGATATTGAGAAGGGGAGACCGGGGTAAAATGAGACTCCGAGGAAAAATGAGACCCCGGGGCAAAATGAGACCCCTCTGTTTGCTTCCGAATGGAAGCATTGAAATCGGTCGATTTTTCGATTCTCTAACTTTGCCTGGAAATGATGTAGAATGGTCTGAAACGTAAAAATACGAAGTTTGAGGACCATGTATGTATGTGCGCGTGGTCAACTTGGTCCACTTGATGGTCAACTTTTAGAAAAAATTAAACGAATAAAGGGCTAAAATAATTCCAAAAGTCTGTGTATTCAGCTGAATCGGTTCAGCCATTTTTGAGAAATCATCATTTGTTTTTAAATCGATTTTTGCAAATATCCCGGAAAGTATCCAACCGATTTCAATTTTTTTTTCAAAATACTCGTCTTGATGTCTTCTATCGCAATCTATCAAAATATCTATACCTGTTCATGCAAAGTTTTCGAGATATTTCTATTTTTCGGTTTTTCGCTGAAAACTTTTGTTAGCACTCTAGTTTTTCTAAAAATTGATATATTAACTTGAAATTTGGTACAAAATTTCCGCTTGGCACCAAAATGGTTGGTATTGAAGATGTGCTAAATCGGATAGATAGTTTAGGAGATATTCGACTTTATATCCAAATCTATTTTCTTGAATATCTGAAAAACTACTCGACCGATTTCAATTTTTCTTCAAAATATTCATTTCAATGTCTCCTATTCCAACCAATTGGAATATGCACAATTCATACCACTGATTCATGCAAAGTTCCCGAGAAATTCAAAATTCAAATTTCAAATTCAAAATCAAATTCAAATTCAAATTTTTCGATTTTTTGTTAAAAATTCGTCTTTGCACTCTAACTTTGGAAAAAATTGACATATTAATCTGAAATTTCGCACGAAATTTCCTCTTGTTTTACTTGAAAATTGTGAAAATCGGAGAATTCGCGTCTTACAGAAACTGAAATTTTTTCTTCACCACAAACAGAATTTTTATCTTCTTATTATTTTTCAAAAATAGAATTGCAATGGATCCATTCGGAAGCTTACTACCAATGAAATTGGTAGAGATGAAAGATAAAAAGACTAACAACGCATAAAGACACAATCATATTTCTTCAGTCCAATAGGCTCAGCCCCCTGCTTGTTTTTGTTTTTCAATAAGAGAAATGAATCCAGTGTTTTTTTCCATGTAACGTTGTTTAACAGTTCACATGAGTAGGAAAATAAGTTTTCGAATAAAAAACAGAAACTTCTATCTAAAACAATCTCTAGTCGTCGTTATGAGCGACATTCTAGTTTTTACGGGAGTGAGAAAATTTTTTGTCTCATGCAGATATTTCATCTTATAGTTATGAATTTTTGTAAGTTCATCATAAGTCGATTTTTTTGGTACACTTGAAGATTTTTTGGCTGTAAATTTCCGATACACTTTCAGGGAATTTTTATCACATTGTAGTTCCATTAAGATTTCAAGGAATTCCGTCATTGAAAATTCAGAATCTCATGGAAAAATCAATGAGAACTGCAAATGTAAGTTTAATTATTTCCTGAAACTTAATAGAAATCAGGAAGATTTCAGTAAATATAATCTTGAATTTTCAATTAATTGGAAATTCAGCGTAATTCAACTTTAAACATTCATTTTTTCGTAGAAAATTCTAATAAGTTGAGGAATTCTTGCCTTAATGCTGCTCAAAAATTTGGAATTTTCTGTGAAATTAGAAATGTTATATTTTTTTCCTCCTAAATCGCATTCAGCTGTTATCTTCTGAAAACTACTAGTGGGCAGTCTATGAAATTTTTAGGACAATGGCCGATCGATCATAAATCGAGTGGAATAATTAAGTCTCTCCCCTTTTTTTCATCTCATGAGTATCAAACTTTGTCATGGTCATACTTTTCGAAGATCAAAGTTATTCTAACTGTAGAACAATCAATCATTTGTGTGAGATCTCAAAATTGACAGGGGTCTCATTTTGCCCCGGTCTCCCCTAGTTATGTTCATGTTATTTATTATGTATGATTCTATTATGAAAAGTATGGAAATTAACACGTAATGAGTACTGTTGTGTGAAATGCATTGCAATTGAAGGAAACATTATTATGCCATTACTTTCACTACTTTCCTGAAGTTGATGAATATGGAACTCCGAACTTTTTTAAAATTACAATGGTACATTTTGACAAAAAAAATCTAAATTTCATGGACAGTGTACACTGAGAAGAACAATTTTTTTTGAGAAATACGTCTTTACTTGTATTAAGAAACTCGTGGCTTGAAAATTTTCAAGAGCAAAATATCTTGCACTAAGAAAAAAAAACTTTCGTTCAAGAAATTTTGTACTTGTCCTAAAGACGAGGACAATTTCTTGATAACAAGAAAGTGATTTCGCAAACCAAGTGAAATTTAATTAATTCATTTGATAATTTTTTATATATCTATAAAATTTTCGTCTGAGTTTTCCGTGTCATTGAAAAATGAAATATTCCATTGATTTTCTGTTCGAATGATTTGAAAATCAATAAAATGCGTGATGTTTAAGTCCAATTATTTCGTGAAGATTCGGAAAAATCAGGACAATTCTGGGAAAAATTGAAAATTCTATCAAGTTATGAAATTTCCGTCTCACTGCCACTGGAAACTCATGAATTTCCTTGAATTCTATCTAAAACTGGAAATTTCATAACTACACGGGAGAAATATAAAATTATTTTTTGCTATGTGAACATACTAATCGTGAACCACACTTGCCACACTCAAAATTTACTGTTGAACATAGTGAAAATTGCGAGTCAATATAGTAGAAAGTAATAGAATTCAAGTAAAATCTAATTTGACACGACTAAAAATGCGGATAAGATGAATCAAATTTTAAAATTGTTTCGGAATGGTCCTATGATCACATGAATGGATTATGTTCACATTGTAATTTTTGATGTTATATTCTCTCCGTGCAGTTTTCCTTAAATCGAATTCAATGTCACTCACGAGAATTACTACCACCTTTTCCATGTAATTTTGAAAAATTTCTAAAAACATTATGGGGCTCAAGGGGCTCTAACAGTGTGGACCTTAAGATGAAAAAAAAATCATCTTTGGAAAATAACTTGTCTTCTTTAGTAATTTTGATAAAGTCCATTTTTTCCATTTTTCTTGTTAGCCTGTCAATAGCAATTGCATGGTGACCTGTCTAGGATTACCGAAGGGATTCCTTGAAATTTCTTCAAATTTCAGCGGAACTGTGACATGATGAAAATTTCTAAGATGTTCGCTAGAGATCTCAGCGCAAAGCTCTTAACTGCGTACATTTTTCACTTGTTCCCAGATTGAAAAACGATCTATTAACGTATTTCACAATACGTTTACATCTCCATGTAAAATTACAAATGAAATTACAAATTACAAATTAATCCTTATAATCTCTGCTGATCTCACTGTTCGGTAAGAATTGAAATTTCATGGAATCAAATTAGCAGTAGTTTTCAGAAGACTGACATCCAATTTGGTTTGAGGTGGAGGGATAATAAAAATTGAAATCTTACTAAAAATCAAATGGGAATTACCAAGTTACTTGAATTTTCAATGAGAACATGAGTACTTAGTAAGAAATTATACAGAATTTGTAATTAATTGAGAAGTAAGAATAGATTTACCCGAATTTCCTGATTTTTATAAATTGTCATCGAACAATTAAACCAAAATCTATAGGCTCCATTCATGCTTCCATCATATCACGCACGAAAAAATTTAATGGGAAAACCTATCGAATTCGTTAGAAAATTCTATTGAATTTCTATTAAACTTTTTATTAATTTTTGACTGATTCTGTTGATATGTTCAATAGAAAAAATTCGATAGAAAAAGTTAACAGAATTCGATTTTTCTATATAACTTGTTCTTTTCATATATTTTTTTTCATTCTGTTTCTTTTCTTCTCATCAACAAAATCAATCGAAAAAACGTAGGAAATTTGAGCCGAGGAAGTTCTATAGAAAATATCTCAATAGAATAAGTTATATAGAAAAATTGAATTCTACTGACTTTTTATACTGAATATTTTCTATTGAACATTTCAATAGAATCAGCCAAAAACTAATAGAACAGTTCAATAGTAATTCAATAGCATTTTCTAACGAATTCGATAGGTTTTTCTATTAAATTTTTTTGTCCGTGACACTGAATTTTCAATTACGAAATTCCTCGAAATTTCAGTGGAACTTTCACTCGATAAAAATTTCCAAGAAGTGTACCGCAAATTTCAGCCATAAATTTTGAACAGTTAATTTGGTTATTTTCATGTGATCGTTAATCGCGTCTTTTGTTAGCTAAAAAAGGTTATACAGTTCTGTGTACTATCATACTATGGATTGGCAAGTAGGTCCCCCTTCCTCTTGAACTGGCCCCCGCGTACGAGAGAAGGTAGACCGCACACCGGGTTGCACCTGTGCGCGCCGCAGTCTTTCAACCAACGTGTTGTATTTTCACCTGGCAGTCGGTCTCTGAATCGCGAGCAAAGAAGAGCCTCAATCACTGGACTTTCAGTCGTACGAGCGGTCCACGTGGGAATAGTTATTCCCCCTTTTCTCTATAAAATATTCATGATATTAAAATAGATATAATTCACTTTCCACACTAAACTGTAAATCAACGTGTGAATGTTCCCACATTGTGATCTTGTTGCCTATAGATAATAGTGAAATGATGTTTGTGGGTTTTTATGATAATAAAAAGAAAAGTTGGAGGGTTTCGGTCACGCGTTAGTGAAAAATTTCGGACGAAACGACGAGCAAAAGGTGTCTCACATAACGCGATACGGCAATCTTCACACGTGTCACATCATTCTCGAAATAGATCAACGCTGATTAAGTTCTATATCACGCAGGAAAATATCACGAACGAGTTACCCAAGTTTCAGAGAAATTATAAGGATGGATACCATACTGGAGAAAATGGAAAAGCTCAATTTGGTAAATGGTTTATAATTTTATAAAATCGCTTCTCGTCAGATGGTTAAATTGGCCATAACTCTATCTCATAACGGAGTCATTCATCTTCCCCACGATTCCATATCGGTACCCGTTAGATTTTCTTCAATTTTGTCCATTTTTCAGCTAAGCTTGTATATATTGTAATGATAAGTTGAGCATGTTTGTTCCATCTGGTTTATCTTGCTGAAACTGTAAACTGTGAACTGAAGGTGATTGTGGCTAGATTTTTTTCTTGCTTTTCGATACTGGTCCTCTAGCGTGCAGAGAACAAATTTATTGTATGTGGAAAAATGAGTGATGCTGCGAGAGACTCCTCGAGATATCCCGAGACAATACTTTGGAGAGATTGTCTCGGTCTCAGTGAACACGGAATTTTTTGGTCTCGTCTCAAACTCAAAATACGCAGCATCGACTCCTCTCGTGATGGCCCCGAGTTAATCTATCTCATCTCGGTTTCCAGTTTTTCGCGTTTTTTATAGGAGAGGGTAGGGCAAAACGGACCAGGAGGAGAAACGGACCGCAGGGCAAAACGGACCACTGACAGAAAATTGGTAATTTTTTTTTTCTTTCCTTCAAATCAGGAACACTGAATGTGTTGAATTAAAAGTGAGTTTCTTGGATCGTAACCGTCACAGGGGTTTTATAGGCAACAAGTGTCGTTGAACCGCAATTTGATCAGATTTGCTAACCACCTCAAACCACAAATTACTTTGAAAAACCAATATTTCCTAGGAATCTGTGTGTCTAAAGGCAAAACGGATATTTTTATATTTATTCCTTGTAGAAATAAATAGCGCGACAGAAGCCATTTGATGGATTACATATGACTGCTACTCTCCATGCATTTTTTTTCTTCTATTTTCATTTCAACCAATTTCATTGGTAGTAGGCTTCCGAATGGTTCCCAATGCTTGTTTCCAAAAAAATAAAACTACATATTTCTGTTATATGGCTTTTTCAGTTATCCTGATGTGAAAATGAAAGGTGAAATATAGATGCGTCAAGTTGTTTTTCACAAGAATTCCTCAATTTTCTGTCAGTGGTCGATTTTGGCCTACCCTCCCCTCTAAAAAGGTAAATTTTTATAATGAAAATTCAAGGTTTTTTTGTAGCGATGATAAAGGTTTGAAAAAAAACATATGAGCGGAAAAAACAATTTCGTGCCTAAAACAATTTTGAAGTCGTGATGTAAATTTGGCCAAATTCAAGCGACGATTTATCATGTTATTCGTCTTATCATTTCTCTAAATCTGTAGATAAAACATATATTTGTTTTCATATAATTAAATAACGTATTATCTTGCCAAGTAGATGATACGTGAACAAAGCACGCGCCGCAAGTTCTAATTACATTAAAAAACACGAAAAACTTGAGACCGAGATGACATAAATGGAATTGGAGTCATCACGGGAGGAGTCGATACTGCGTATTTCGAAACTGAGACAAGTAGAGATGCAAAATGATCGTCATTTTTTAGATCGCGTCATATGACCAAAAAATGACGGTCATGTGACACACAAATTTTCCAACTACAAATGATTGTCACAAATCATTTGTAACCAAATTGTTGTCAAATCATCTATATAGTTGCATAATGACGGTCATAACTAATTCCCAATTTGTGACGGTCACGAATAAAACTATAGTTTCATCTATATGGATGGAAAAAAAACGTGATTTCCATTTCAAAATGCGGATTGTTGTTAGAGTCNTTGTATATATTTTTATGTTGTAAATGTAATATATTATCAAAAAAACAAGAGCCAATTGTAAGCAGTTTTTTATACAGTAAACGACCCTCAGCCAGGCGTGGTCCGGGAATTGGATCCGTGGACCGCAATGTGCGTTCGAAATGTCGATGTTCATGTGTCCTGCAGTTCACAAGTTGACGCGCAATTAGCTGCGTTCTTCATCGACCCACGAGCCAAGTGATCCACCGTTCAGGGTAATCATATAAAAATTTTTTTTGTTTGGTAAAGTTATTGAATACAAAAATATTCAATCCAATCTCGCAATCTTGCTTAATTAAGGACAAGACGCTTAAGCAAACACAAAATTTAATTTTCTATATTATTCAGACTTGTGTTTACTTTGACCGTTACACAGTAAAAGAATAGATATCTAATTACTTACGGCATAGAAAAAATGTGAAATTAACTATAAAATCATCATCAATAAAACTTGTGTCGCGAAAATCATTATAAAATCTTGAGTTTTTTGAAGGCTCATCATGACAACAATAATATAAAATTATTGGCCAATAGGTTACCCCAAATGCGGATTAGGCCAATACAAAAGGAATTCAACTGAAAATTGACGGAGAAAAAAATAAAGTTTCATCTATATAGGGGAGGGTGGGGCAAAACGGCCCCCCTTCAATTGTCAATAACTTGTGAATGACATTGTGAAAATTCCCAGTTTCAACTTCATTTTGAAGATAATTTTTCATTCTTCAAAACGAGCTCTAACTCATCCCAATCGGATTATTGAATCGGAAAATATTGACGATTGAAGGGGGGCCGTTTTGTCCCATCCTCCCCTAAATGAAAAATGACTGTCATTTTTTCTTGACAAGTTGCGACGGTCACAGAAGAGGGAGGGGGAATTGTGACAGCTGTCATGAACGCCTCGTCATATGACGGGTCATGTGACGCATTTGCATCTCTAGAGACAAGACAAAAGATTTCCATGTTCATTCATCTCTCCAAAGTATTGTCTCGTGAAGTCTCTCGCGGCATCACCAGGAAAAATTGATGGCAAATGAAGGGTAAACCCAGAGAAATGGTGTATTTAAACTGAAACCTTATTCGAATCAAATAAATAGGCTTACTCCAATAGTCCGTAACAGAGGTTTGATTTCAACTTGAGCTTGATTTTCATTCGTGTCTTTATTGACATCAAATGCATAGTCTCTTAAAATAACCAAATGTTTTCTTGATCCATATGAGGTTTTTATTAGTTAGAAGTGAAATCATCGTTTAGACGGTGAACGGAACCGACTCATTAACATGTAATAATGCTTCATTCGATTTTAATGGAGAATTTATTTAGATTTGATGAATTCTTAACTCTATATCATTAAAATATTCTTACGGAATTAAATACACGAGTTCATTAATTTCCAACGAACGTAGTGTTGAAGTGGATTGAAGGAGTTCGTATAAGAAGTTTTCTTAGATTCAAACGCGTTATCCCTCTGGGTGTATATACGAATAATTTTCCCTGAACGGCGTTGAATCTCAAACTCGACATAAAGGTTGATTAAGAACCAGGTCAACTTAGTTTGGAAAATAATTGGATACTGTGTGCACTGCGTTACCATGTAAAAATGATCGAAAATACCGCTGTTTGCGATGGTGAAACTTTTTAACAATGGACAAAGAAAAATCTACATAGGTATGTATGGGCAATCCTATGCAGGAGACAGTGCGAAAATCCGGCCTTTGAATTATCGACTTCTTTCATCTCTCGGTACTCTCTATTGATTATTGAAAAGAAAAAAAGAAGAATGCTTCTAGTTGTGATTGGCAAAATTCGAAGTTTTCAATTTTTTTCTTCAAAATTCATCTTTGAGGACATCTGGAGATTAAAAAAAAAATCCTGTCTCATAATTTTTTAACGGTGGTGGAGAACGAACTATTTTAGTGCTTGAGAAGTTGAAATCGGTTGATTAAAGTGAGTGCTACCTTAACCCTTAAGTGGTCGCAGCTCTGCACCGAATACAGTTGGTCGCATCGTGAGAGAATCCCCGCCCCGTGCATTTTACGATTTCATGAAAAAAGTACTTCATTACTGGTTTATGGGCAATTGGGAACCTTAAATGAATAGTAAATGGGGATACCTATTAAAGAGAAGGAGTAGTTAGATAAGCCACAAAAACTGGATCTTATTGGGTGCAGAATTTTGAAATTTAAAGGGGAAACTAGGGGGTGTGCCGGTACCGCTCAGCGGATAATACCGCTCACCCGATTTTCTCCACAACCATCAACTTGAAAATTTCTTTCTATTCCTGATCATGAAGAATTTGATGATAGGATGTGATTGTCGGAAAATTTTCACTTTATTTACCACTTTAAATATGAAAAAACACGTAACGAAGTTTTGAGGTCTTTACAGTGCAAAAATTGTGGACTTTTAATTAAGGTTTTTGATAGTTTCAAACGCTGAATTCTCATATTAAACTGCGGTTATTCGATTTGTGGTACTTTCACACGTAATTTAAGACCAATTCGAACTCAAAATTCCACTCATGTCAATAATTATCAACAATTTTGTTGACGCCGAGCGGAGCTGGTAATACCGCTCATAGGATCGGCCACGTAGTTGCTGGACAGCACTCGAGTGCAGGTTAGGTTACGGCGATACACGCAAAACCCTATGAGAGGCATTGGAATCGTGCCGAGCGGTATTACCCGATGGCGGGTAGTACCGCTCAATAGGGTCTCTGTTATTTTCAATCAATTTTATGGATTCTAAGGAGAATTAGGCGTCTACACTTCGAGAATAACGAATTCAATAGTTAAAGAAGTTTCACAAATACGTTTTTTATACTCAAGTTGAAATATAAAATATAAAACTGGCATTTCCCCTTAGGTGGGCGGTATAGGCACACCCTCCCCTACTATGAATTCTAAAAGTCGGAGGCAATTGAAATTAGATTTCTCACACATTGAAGATCGATGGTATCCGGTTAATTCATCTCAGCATAATTCATCCTACAAATTCATCCCATGACAATTCATCCCACGGCAGTTTCATCCCATTTTTTATTTATTATTACTGTTTTGATGAAGAATACGCTTGGCTGAAGCGCGTGACTTATCGGATTAATTTTCAAGTTTTGTACTGATTTTGTAAATTAATGGTGTGGTCTATTACTTGGGGCCTATCTGCCGAATGTTAACTGAGATGGATAAGAATGATTTGACCGTTTTCTTGCAATGTTTCCTGTTAATCCGTTGATCGGTTGTGTAAGCAA